TTTATTATTTAATTAATTATTTTCTTTTAATTAATTAGGTTAAATCAAAACCCCTTTTTTCTCTAAAAAATCCAAACAAAAATATCCATTTTCTTCACATTTACATTCTTGTATATTTATTCATTTTGTACATTATTTATTCAAATTCAATATGGTTGTAATAGATAAATTAGGCTTTATTTTTTTGCAATCCCCATTCATAATTTGTACATCCCCCTCCCATAAGTATTGTAATAGCGTAGTAATTTTAAATTCCGCAATTTATCGTTTTATATATACAAATGCTAGTAATTAGGGTTTGTATGAAAAAACTAAAACCAATCAATTAGAAAACCCTAATCAAATACAAAATCAAGCATGAAAAACAACACACTTACACACAAGCACCCCTGGGGTAAATCCACTTGGTTGCCTTACAAAATGGCCATATTACGCATGTGAGGTATCTTAGCAAAAACAATCAAAGTATAAGATCATAGTCCCTCGATGACATTATCTAAGTTGCCTTTCAAATGATCTTAGTCTCTAAAAGAGAATACTAAGATACCTTGCAACATTGCTAATCATGGTTATACAATGACCCACGTCCGTCCCGTTTACATCCAAAGATAGGGTTACTTACCAAATCAATGGCAAGATAACAATATCAAAGGAAAAAAGAAATGAACATGAAAGACTTTTAAGTAGGTAGAATACTCCTAATTACTTGCTCAATTTCAAACAAAACATTCTTGCTATTTTCAAAACAAACACCTACACTTTCAAACATCTTACAAAACTTGAAAACATTTTCAAAAGATCAACATCTTTGCATACATTATTACGAACGAGAATCATTACAAAGTTTGCCTAAACAATAGTCTCTTTATAAAATACTTTCAAAAACCACACAAAGCACAATTTCAAACAAAAGCAAGTGATCTAGCAAGTAACTAAGAGCCCATGGAAAATCATGGATGAAAAGGGTTCTAATACCTTCCCTTTCCATAATCTACCCCCCGAACTCAAGAAATAATCTCAAAGGTCTTTCTTGTGCTTTTTCACATTTCCTTTTGGATAAAAGAAAAGTCGGTGGCGACTCTTGCTAACCGCAACATTTGTGATAAAACGCAAAACCTTCAAGTCAGTTCTCCCACCGTATCATAATGGTAAATAAATATTCCTGATTCTTCATAAAGCTATAGTTACTACTATTGGCATATAATCCTTGTGGATAAAGGGTCCATATAATCGCAATAAGACTTTGTTCTCAAACTTATCTTCACTCCTAAGAATCATCAATTTGGTGGAATCTTATCTTGTGTTCGTTAATTTGCACAAAAAATTCTCATTTTGAGGATTATACAACTTAAATGAACGGTGAAGTCTCTTATTTATAAGTCCCACATCGACTACTTTATGAGCGAAATAACACTTTATATTAGTCTAACACAACTATAAGTTCGTCGAGTTGGATAACTATAAATTTGTTGCAAAGAAGTGCTTCTTTTGTAACTTTTATTTGTCTTAAAAAACTATGTTAAATAAATTTGAGTTACACGAAGCCACCTCTCTTTCACTCTTTTTTAAATGGTCTAGTTAAGTTAATGTTAGATGTATATGCGGGTTGGGGTAAATTAAACATGTTATTGGCATTGCAGGTACCGAAAGCTTGCTAACCGTGTTGACGAGGCCCTTGGATTCATGGTTGCTGCTGGTCTCACAATTGACCAATCCAATAATGAGAGCAACTGATTTTTGGATATCACATGAGTGCTTGTTGTTGCCATATGAACAATAACTCACTAGGTTGGATTCAACTTCTGCTCTTCATTATAACTGTTGAGCCCATATGATCTGGGTCGGTGAAAAGACCCATCAACTGGATGGTGCTCATGTTGAATGATGCTCAAGTTGAGTTTCTTAGAAGAGTTGTTAATCCTTTGGGAATCAATGTATGAACATTATTCTTATCATGTGACATTGACTTCATTTTTTAATAAAATAGGGCTAATTATGTTTTTTGTTCCCAAAAAGTTATGCTAATGTTTCATTTTATTAAAGTAAATCTTGTTTAAATTGACAAACGTATATATGAGCTAGTCCTTGATGGTAGGCTACCAAACTTGAAAGTTATATATATATATAAGTTATATATATATATATATATATATATATATATATATATATATATATATATATATATATATATATATATATATATATATATATATATATATATATATATATATATATATATATATATATATATATATATATATATATATATATATATATATATATATATATATATATATATATATATATATATATATATATATATATATATATATATATATATATATATATATATATATATATATATATATATATATATATATATATAATTTAGAACTTGGAGTGGTAGTGAGTAAAGGGCCACTTGTAGAAGTAGGTGGGATATTTAAGTATTCAAGAAATTGAGTGTTATTTTGAATCTTTTAATATGCTTTAAGGACTGAATTTGAGAGAGTGATATTTCAGTTACTAAATTGAAGGTAATTCCTGAATTTATTTTCATTATGGTGCTAAGTTGCAATGCTTTTGGGTAGGTGAGAATAAAATTTGGGTATGGATGTTGATCATACCGGTTGATCAGAACCTGCAAGCTGGCCGAATGATGATCTTCAGATGGGCTGGAAAGTCGAGGAGGAAAAATTGGGGTTGTACCTGCAAGACACTTCGACGACCAAGTAAGTATGAGAGCAAAAGAGATACAAGCAAAGTGTTAGGGTTTTAGTGATGAAGAGTGGATATTCGATACCTGACTCTCACATGAGTGAGGGTTTGTATAGTGCCCTTGGCGCTTGGCCATTGGTCTTTATTTGTGGGTCTAGATATGCGAGTCCACAAAAATAGGTAACTGCCAGGACTTGGTCAAATTGGGCAGGTGTGTCCGTAACTAGCCGTTGATTCCGAGGAGGAGGTAGGTTGCGGGAAATGGTCTGATTGGTTCTTGGTTGTCTGGCTGACTCGAGATCAGACAGACTGAGAGGCGCTCGTCGGTCGTCGTAGGTCGACGCTAGTCTAGGAGGGAAAGCGGCAAATAGTGTTCGACAGGGGGCGGGGGAGTCCGGACCTAGGCTGCACGGATTGTGTCAAAGGAGGAGGTTAGACTGGGCTCACTCTAGCCGTCGGATCAGTCAAGAACATATGCTATTCATTATTTTAAATATTAAATAAAATTTAATTATAATTGAGTAAAAATGTGCAGGATTTGCAACAAAATGCTTTTAATATGTTTCTGTGATGGATTCTTGCACGACTTGACAATTTTTCAAGAAATTAAGCTTGATATTGCACATATGATACGATGTGTAATGAAGACTTGTAGTAATATTGGCCTGCACTTGTTATGCTTAATACCTCATAAATCTTGAATTTTGATGCAATTGTTGTAAGAAGAGTATGGTTTAGTGTCTACAACTATAATAATACTGACATTAATTTGCATGTTTTTGAATTTGCCTTTCCCAATCCCAATTGATATCTTTTCAGTGGTGGATTTGACACTGATGTTTAGATGGAAGAGGAACAATGTTGTTAGTTGTTGTCAATTTCTTATAATGATGTTCTTTTTTTCCTAGGGTATTTGAAAAGTCAGTGCAGTATGTAAAACATTTCAGCTAGTATAAAAATTCTAATGCTTAGACAAGTTTGAGAGTATCCTCCAATTTAACCGCAATGCTTTGATACATTCTTTATTTTTATCTTTTTCATTTAATTTAATTGAGTCTAAATTGTAATGTATCAATTTTTAAATATAAATTGTGGGTTTAGATTGATTAATAGATTAGATAATTTAATATGTTTTAATATTTTTATAATATTATTCTGTAAATTTATTGAATATATAATAAAATTAAAAAATAATTAAAACTTTTAGTAACGGCAAAACTTGAAGTAGAAGATAAATTTTTTTATTCCACTTTCCAAGTTTTACCAACGGAAGAAACCGTAGGGAAAAATCTAATATTTTATGGCTAAATGACTTTGACAGACCGTTGCAACGGTATAATGCACGGGTGCTGAAGCATCATTTCTTGAAATCTAAAACAATAAATAGACTAGAGTAGTCAATTAAATAACTTTCATAATTATGAAATATATGAATATCAAGTCACAGAATTAAAGAGAAATTGTTATCATCTTGCAAGAAATGATGCTTCAGCACCCGTTTCCTTAGTCTAAAGTTAAATTCAACTGCTAAACATTCATCACTTTAATACATTTATTCTGCTTTTACATATTTTCTTCATTTTTGACACATCTCATTTATTTCGGTTTCATGTGGATCTGTTTTTTTGTTTTCCTGCATTTTCGGTTACCATATTCATTATGCCTTATTCCATGTAATGGTCATGTGCTTTTGACCTCTCTTGTAAGATTTAATGTCTTTTAGATATTCATTTCTAATGTTTATCTGTTGATTCTACTGTCACAACATGTCATTTGTGACATTACTTTTCAGGTTTAGAAAATGTCAAGACCACCCACTTTGATTGACTAAAGATGCTACTGAAATTTCGAATATGATTTTTTGAATAATCCACTGAGCAGAGGTTAGTATTTTATATTTATAACTTTACTACGATAGTTGGATAAGTAAGAGACATTTCACCATTTCCAAGCCTTTATTTAGACACAATTAATTTGGACACAAAAAATTAAATTCATATAAAAAAAATATAAATATAACTTTTAATGTACATTTAAATACAAATATACTGTACAAAATAAATTTAATCCGTGTGGATGCACTGATTTTTGGCTAGTTATAATTTTTTAATAAAGTAATAATTTCTTTAAACTAAAATATTCCCCTTTTTCCTAGACCAAAATCAAAAGTAGTTGAAAATTCAAATTCAAATTCAAATTCGTTGCATTTGATTGTGCTGTGTTTTGCGTTGCTTGCAAGCGAGTGAGAGAGCGATTTCATTTCAGTTTGAGTTTCAATTCGAATGGCATCTTCATTAGGAGGCAATAGCGTAGAGTGGCACGTTCGTCCTCCAAACCCTAAAAACCCAATCGTCTTCTTCGATGTCACCATCGGTAACATACCTGCCGGTAGAATCAAAATGGAACTCTTCGCTGATATTGTCCCCAAAACCGCCGAGAATTTCAGGTATCCCTCTTATTTTGTATCCGAATTTATCAGTTGGTGCTGAAAAGACGATTGAAATTGGTAAACCTAATTTTGATTAGGTTATGTCATGTTTTCTGTTTTACTTTAGAGTTTATGAAACTTTGATTTTTGATTCTTACTAACGCTACTAACGGCTCTACTTTTTTGATTTTGTAGGCAGTTCTGCACGGGGGAGTACAGGTAATTAACAATCTTTTCCAGAGGAGCCAGCAATTTATTGTGGGTTAATGATAGGTTTTAATATGTCACTTTGCTTTTATTTTTGATATCCAAGAGTTATAAGGTGGCTTGGTGCTTTGGGAGGGACGTAGGGGTTTGTGAGATAAGGAGTTCATGAGTTGAGTTTTATCTTTAACATTTTAATAACTAACATTCGTCATGAGTTGGGAGGGACATTTTAATCTGTGATGCTAATTTGCCACGTCATTTTAATATTTGGTTGGCAACATATTCCTTCCATTTTCTGCCTGCAAACTCTGAAGCTAAATGAGGATCATTCCTATGGTGTTTGCTGATGCTTTTTGTGCTATCAGCATTTCTTTTTCATGATTGTCATGACCAGAAAATTGATGATGGTGATAAGTGTAAGTTAATGGTGGCATCATGATAAAGAGCTGAGCTGAGCCCATCTATCGTGATAATTGTTCTTGTTTTTCTTTTTTGTATGAGGGCTATGGTTGTAAAAACTGCGATCCTTCTCATTAAAATACAATTGCCTCATTTTATGATATGATTTTATTTGCAGGAAAGCAGGGCTTCCTATTGGTTACAAGGGTTGTCAATTTCATAGAGTGATTAAGGATTTTATGATCCAGGCTGGTGATTATGTAAAGGTACATTTCTGGGCAATGTTATCTCTGACTTGGTCTGTTTTAACATAATAGTGCAGGGGTGTTTGGGTTTGTAATTTATATTCATTATTTATAATATAAGCTTACTGCTCATATGGTCTTACTCTATATGCATTGCAATGTATCTTAGTTAAGTATGGAGTCAATGTTTCTTTTCTTGTCTAATAGCTTTGAGAAACCTTCTTATTTGACCTCAGTTACATGTCCAAGTCTATTTTTCCTTTTGTCTGTTCTAATATTTTGTTTTTACCTGTTCTCATAGTAGGGTAGATTACTTCATTAGAATGCATGCTAGTAGTGATAGACCCAATGCTTTATTTACGTGTACATTAAATCTTATTTTTAAGAATTATAAGCCTGTAGCAGCTTCATAAACATATTTTAAACAACAGAATATCAATCATAGTAATGGCAAAGTGTCAATATAAGAGGACAGAGTCAATTTGCATTATAAACATACCATAATTATTTTTTCTAACTGAAAAGTCTTTAGAAAAATATACTACTTATTGATGATCACAGTATAGTGATTGTGTTGTGTGAAACATGGTTAAGGAAAGCGTGTTCTATCTCACGTGTAGCAGTTCAGTCTAAAATGTTGTTTCTTCAAAGGCTAATTGACAAATACCATACTAGATTTGCAGGATCCTTATGTTATCTGGTCAATCAGATTGAGAGAAATTGTATACTTCAATTAAAATAACTGAGAAATTTAAGAAGTTCAATAATGGAAGTACCTTGGACTGAGATTTCACTTGCGTCCAACTCTTTGATTCCCTCATTCTTTATGCTGTATAGAGAATTAGGGAATCAAACAGTGTGAAAAAAATTCAAAAGGAACACCATTTGTCTTTACTAGTTCTATCAGTAATCAAAGCCAATGGTCATGAATATTCTCTAGCTGTATAATTCCTAATCAAATACCCTATTTGATTAAAAAAGAATGAGGAAAGCATAAGTTATATTGAAATATAGAATGTCATCATTCAAAATATAAGATCCGTTGTAACCCTAGCTATGAGATTTAGTTATCCATATGTAAAGAAACCAAAATCCCAAACTAAAATCGGTAGAGAAGTCCTTCTACGATTGGATGTGGCTTAGCATTGCGTATATTTTGGCTTAGCATTACGTTTATTGGTTTTCTTAGTATGTGTAAATAATTTTAAAACAACTAAAATGAAACAGGGGTAATAACACTTCATCATTCGATGTGGCTTAGCATTGCATATATCTTGGTGCTTGAATCTGATCCAATCCACATTATGACGACATTGGTGTTCTATCATGTCATTGTTTTTGAAAATTAGTATAAAAATGCAACTAGATATGAGCTATCAAATTAAATGTCTCAGAATTTGGGTTGTGCCTAACTCATCCCTACAAAACCAGCTTGTAAGGTGAGGATTGCTCCCACTTATAAACACAACACATGCCATATCTCTAACCAATGTGGGACTAAATCTACCCCTTCAAAGCTAACACAATGAAGGTGTTAGGGGGTGCAATGAAGGCAAGCCGAAGTGTTGTAATTAAGGCGACTAGGGGCGGACCGCAAGTAAGGCGGAAAGTCCAATTAAATGCATATATAATTTTCATATAACCTAAAATGTCTAACTTGCTTGCTTTTTATACGTACACACTTCAACTTTTTCTTTATTAACTTTAGCGCCTCTAGCCTTTAATTGTCAACTTTTTTTAATCACAATTGGCTAGCCCCATTTTCATCATCGGATGCCTTCTCAGAATGTTGCAAATGGATTGTCTATTGCCATTATTATTTTTAAATGTTGGGTTCTATCTTCAAATCCTTCATTTTATCTCCCAGAGACGATTTAATAGTGCGAGTGCCATATTTTGTGAACGGACCTTAACCTGTGGGCTAGATACACATGTGAGTTTTACTTTGGCTGGCCTGAGACACCGAACTCCCATTGAAACCAAAAGCTCTTCTTTATCAATAGTCTGGCTTTTAGAAGTGGTTTCTCCTGCATTGCATATGCTTCCCTCCGTATCGTTTTTGTTGCTTAGGTTATTTAGTATTCATCTTTCTTTATCCCACAGTATTTACCTTCTCTGTTGTGGACTGTGGTTGTGTATCTCAAAGTTGTCTCTTGTCAGATCATTATTATCAATTCTTTAGATGAAGCACTTTCTATTTGATTTTATTATGATGTTGACAGCGGGCCACCGATGCTCCCTTTTATATAATATGTTTAATGAGCCTGCCAATTTTCTCTCTAAATAACTACAGAAATTTTGTTGTTTTCTTTGTGGAAATAATATCACAAGAAATTAGAGTCTAGTCTAGAGCAGGACTTGATGCCCGAGTTTTAAATTCAATTGTTTTTGTATTGTAAACTGCAATGTTTGGAATCGCTGCTCGTGTGGATGCATTGAATCTACTCTGAATCCTGCTCTGCCTTTCATTATAATTTGTACACTGCTTATATCGCTTATATAAAAGTTGTCAATGATAACCATATGATTAAATCCAGATTTTATATGAAATCTTACGAGTATATTCCTCCTTGGTAGGGTGATGGTAGTGGATGTGCTTCCATTTATGGACTCAAGTTTGATGACGAGAATTTCATCGCCAAACACACTGGACCTGGCCTTCTATCAATGGTATGTATTTCTTGTTTCAGTGTACGTTTGATTTAGTTTTTGGAAGAGCCAAAAGGAATTCTAGACTAGAGTCTTAGAATTGATTTTAGAATGATTTTGAAATGTTTGGTTCTTCTAAAGTAGAATTGATTGATTCTGCCTTCAGAGTTGATGATTTTTACTTGAAGCTAGAATTTGTAGCTTTTGAGTTTAAATGTTAATTTTACACTGAAATTTGTTGTTCAACTCACTTTTGCAAGAATTTTTCCAAACATAAATCACTTTACCTTCAACTCACTTTTAGCCAGACTCAATTTTACATAATCAATTCACTCTTAATCAATTATTTTTCACTCTTAATCAATTATTTAAGTGCTATTTTGGGTTATACGTAAATATTGAGACTCTCGATGTAATAGTGTTTTGATTCTAAGTCACATAAGAATACAATTATTAATTATTGTTAAAATTGCCTAATGGTTATGAATTTCTGAATTAGCTCCTTAAAATTTAAGGGCTAATTGACCGTACATGTATATGTAAAGTGACAAGTTATTTACAAACATGTAACTTACAACAATCTTACTTCCTGAAAGCTTTGAAATGAAATTATTTATATTTTGCTAAAAATCAATTCTGCCATCAATTAATTCAACTAGTATGGCATAATTATGGTTTTTCTTACTTCAATATAAAGAAAATTGAAGTCAAGATTCTCTAATCTGCAGGCAAATAGCGGACCAAATACCAATGGTTGCCAGGTAAGTTTCAAATGATCATTCATTTCCTGTTCTGTTTACTCTGTGGTAACTTCTAATTGATAAAGCTCTCTTTCTGCTGATGAATCTTCTCTCCTGCTTGCAGTTCTTTTTAACTTGTGCAAAATGTGACTGGCTTGACAACAAGCATGTTGTTTTTGGGGTATGCTCCGACATCCTTAATCACATGTATTTTTCATGATGACATTAGAATGTTGCTAGCATCTTTCTTGTCCTGAATTGTTGATGTGTTGTTTATTTACCTGACTTTCTTTTATGCAGAGAGTGCTTGGAGATGGTCTTTTGGTTGTGAGGAAGATTGAGAATGTTGCAACTGGACCCAATAACCGGCCAAAATTAGCTTGTGTCATTGCTGAATGTGGTGAAATGTAAATTTTAATGTAACTTCGCTAACAAATTATAGTTCTCTAAATTGATTGAATCCCATAGGATGTTGGCTTTCTATACAAGGATCTTTGGTCTCTAAGACTGATAGTTAATTTTGTAGCGGATTAGTTGAATAGCACATCTAGTTGAACAGTCGTGCTTTGGAATAGTAGAAGGAACTTTACTATTATCGTCTTTATATCGTAGAATACTTTGTAATGCTTCAATTCTCTGAGATTCTGGAGGAGTGTGAAGGGAATGACATGGCTAGACAATTAATTTTTTGCAATATTTGTTTTTTTTTGTTTGGGTTGTTTGGGTTCATATGTGCCAAAGATTCAAAGTTTTGGAGGTAAAACTAACATATAAAGGAAGGGGATTATTGTCACACTCCACCACATGGGGTGTGCCCACGTCCCTGGAAATTCAAAAATATTTTTATGCTTTTATTGGCGTTCAGAGATGAATCTCTGGACGCACTTAAAATCACACCAACCCTCGTAATTTAGTCACACACATCTCATTTTGTCTGAATCTGGTTCGGAGATGCATTTCCATAAAGTTTTTGCATGTATTTGGTAATTGGTAATGATCTTTGAAAACCTCCCTGAATGTTTTCAAGGCTGTAATATTGTCCTAACTTTGATATTTTTTGATATTTTTTTTAGCAATAACCAAGTATTGAAAAAAAAAACACAAATAATTATGTTTCGGAGAAAATTGCGCGAATAACCATGTTTCAGAGAACACCATAATGGAGGCGTCAAGTGAGATGATGCATGCACTTTAATTTTAGAAAGAGGTGCCAAGTGAGATGACACATAGGTGCAACATGTTTGCCCTAAGTCATCTCAGATGGCGCCTAAGTGCATTTAAGAGATAATTTTGTTTGCTTTCTATTTTAAAAATGAAATGAATCTTAGGGTGTTTGGTATTGCGATTGTTGGATGCTATGGTGATGTGGTGGTTGATGGTAAGTTGAGTCAGTTGGATCATATTCTTCAGGAAAGCCTAGATATGGACTAAGGTGAGATGATGAGGGGCTCACATCGGGATGTGGAGAAGACTGGAATTGTGTGTGGGCCATGTGGGTGTATTGGTATTGCGATTGCGATTGGGGTTGGGTGTGGGGCATATGGGTGTATTGGTATTGAGGTGGTGATTGTGGTTGGGTGTGGGGCATATGGATGTATTGGTATTGAGGTGGTGGTTGTGGTTGGGTGTTTGTGGATCTGTATCGTCGTGGTGTTTGGTGGAAAGTTGATGTGCGTTGGGTTTGTTGTTGGAGAATTGAGGTTTGTGTCAATTGTGTTCGTGGGTCGACCAAATACCTCAGATGAGACACGTGCATTTCTGGGTTACTAATCGATTTGTACGAATTAAAATATTGATCAGTGTGTCACATATTATTTTGGTTGAGGAAAACAGTTGCAAGACATGTTGGTGACGCCTATGTCACATCTTACACCATTTTGGAGCAAAATCTTTCCAATTAGTAAGATCCCATTGGGCGTCGACCCTTTTGAGATGCCAGGGTGACAAACAAGTTGGATCGCATGGTATCTCTTGATGTATTCCGAACTGCATCTTGACACGGTCGATATGGTGCAACTCCACAATGTTGAACCGTATGATTGTAGTCTTTGCATTCCAAATTGTTGCATCATCGGGGTTTGGTTCATGGTTCAAACCCAAATATGGTCTCCAGATAAACTATAGATAAAATTAAATCAGAATAATGAAAACAAAAAATAAATAATTTAAAAGTAGAAAAGTTCAAAGGTACCACGTACATCATCCGAGCCAAGGTGATTTAATAGATTACGATATAGAGCGACATTGAATCTTAGATTCTTGCCGTAATCCATACTCGTTACGCAGTACCTAAAGGAATTGAAAAATAGTTAATTTTATACATTTATTTGGTGAAAAGATGAATAATAAATTATTTAAGTTCTTGACTTACTTTGTTGTGTATGGAAAAATGAATGCATTGTTGTTGACGGGGTTTAGGGACTCCATTCTCCATCAACCCCGGGCTTGGAGTAAGAAAATACATCCATAAAAAGTATATTTGTCCTTTGTTGCGTTTTTACACAAAGAAATGTATAGGTGAGCTAAAACAGCAGAACCCCAACTATACTTTCTTATTTTTTCAAAGTTCCTAAGTGTGATACGGTGGGAGAACTGACTTGAGTTTTGCGTTTGTATTCGCACTTGTTCGGTTTAGCAAGAGTCGCCACCGACTTTTTATTTTGTCCTAAAGGAAAGGTTAAAAAGCACAGGAAAAACCTTTTTGAGACGTTTCGTGGGTCCGGGGGATAGATTATGAAAAGGGAAGGTATTAGCACCCTTTTCATCCATGGTTATCCATGGGCTCTTAGTTACTTGATTTTTAGATCACTTGCCTTGATTTTTGATTGCTTGAAAATGGTGTGTGTATGTGTGTGTTTTGAAAATGTTTTTGAAATAGACGCCTTTGTTTCGGCAACCATTGTAATGACTCGTGTTTGAGTATATACAACGGTGTGTATCTTTTCGAAAAGATGTTTCAAAATGTTTTTGGAAGTTTGTTTTGAAAGTGTTTGTGAGGTGTGGTTTTTGAAAAAAGGTCTCACAGGTTTTTGAACTAAGGCTTGGACATGTTCTTGGGTGTTTTTGGCTTTTGAAATGTTTTGGCTTTTTGTTTTTTTTTGTTGGCCCGGTAAGCTTGAGGTTCCAGCAGGTTATATGGTTGAAAGGCTTAAGGCCTGGGCAGCTTATGCTGTGCTTTCAGGCTTCAGGCTGCTGGTTTTTTAGGCTTCTGGTTATGCTTCAGGTTAACCTTCGCAGGTTATTTGTGAACTGGTTTTTATGCAGGATGTTTGGCCTTAAGTTTTGACAGGGTTAAGGCTTTTTGTGCCTTTTGGTTTGATGCTTTCAGGCTTCAGGCTTGATGACTGGTGCAGTTTTGTGTTTTTGGTTGCAACAGTTTAAGACTTAGGTGTTGATGCAGGTTTGGGACTTGGTAGTTCTATATTTTTCCTTTGTGATATTCCCCCCTTTACTGTTTCATTGGCAGATTGTTTTATATCTTTTCTATGCCTCAAGCCTAAACCTGTAAGCCCAACTTCTTCTCTCTCTTTCTTTCTCTCTCTAGTACAGTTAAAACATTTAAATAATGTTGTATGTACTTATTCTGAAAAAGCAAACTGGCATGGGAAATGATGAAACTGAAATTTTGCTTGCAAAACACTTTTCCTCTGCATACTTTCCTTCTTCAGCTCTCCTGCATCTTTGTTACAGTTTTGGCATCTTGGGGTATGTTGATATCTTGGGATATCTTTTGGCAGCTTGTTGACTTTGGACTTAGTTTTGAAATTGTGACTTTGTATTTGCACATGCTGTCTTGCTTTGAACTATGCAGTTGGTTTTGAACTATGCAGTTGGTTTTGACAAAATTTGAATTTGTGCATTTCAATACTTGTGCATTCATTTTTAATTTGCAAACATTTTCATCCCTCTTTGTGAACCGGGAGAAATCCCGTGATTTGCAGAGAGGGTAAAACTGATTCCGGCCATTTGCTTTTAATGATGAACTTTTCATCTGTCTGTCTCTTTAAATATCTTTCTGCTTCTGACTTTTCTTCTTTCTTATTCTTTGCAGATAGAGTCCAATGAGGCAGAGGGAGCAAGGGATAGAAGATGAAGAATTGAAGATTTAGAAAAATATTAGGATAGTTTTATTTAAATTTAAATAAATGTAATATTATTATTGTAAACATTTTGTAAACAAAAACAATTATACAAATAATTTAAAGATAAATAAAAAGTCCTTTTATTTGATTAATTCTTTTCTTCTTCAATTGTTTATTTATTATTTAAAATTCTTTAAATTATAATAATGGAAAATAAATTCCAATCATTTAAATTCAGAATAATAAATAATTAAATAAACATTGTTTCGGCATTGATCAATTAAACTTGGCGCTTCCAAAAATCCAAAGCAAAGCACAGTCAAACACAACAACTGCCCAAACGTATTTTCCTTTTACTGATTTTAACCAAACACTGCAAATTCAATCCAAATGCATCTTTTCACTGATTAAGTCAAACAATGCGAATTCAATCCAAATGTCTCAGCCCATATCTCGGAATAACTTGAAAAGCACTGTGGGGATTTAATTCTTTATGAGAATGCACGCATAAAAAACCCTGATTCTGATCAAATGCCAAAGAAACATTCGCCTGATCGAAGCTGAACCAAAATCAACCAAATCCCTAAGCAAACTGTGTGAACTGTTCTAGAGCCATGAAAACCAATGAAAACCCTAATTTTGTCTGACTGACGAGAAAAGTCTGCTTGACCGATTCTTGAGCCAGTTTGAAAAATCAGGAAACGCCTGAAGCTGTGATTTCTTGTGAAAAATGCGAGGGCAAATTTTGGGGTACAACAGTTGTCCCTGTTCAATCTTCTTGGACCTGAAGAGTTAGATTGGCAAGTTTGCCTTTCGCGACTCGAGGGTAAAAGGAGATTGGACACTAGAGTGCCCAGAAAATTTGCACTCGGTAATGTGATGGTAGGGGGAATGGGCTTAAAGATGCCATTTGGTGATGGACTTAAAGATGCCATCTAGTGACTGCCGGTAGGAGGATGGGCTTATAGATGCCATCTGGAAAAGGGCTTAGAGATGCCATTTAAAAATGTTTGTTGAGGAGGATGGGCTTATAGATGCCATCTGGAAATGATTGTTGAACTGTATGTCACTGGTGAGTGGACGAGTATCAGAAAGGTATCCATGTTTTGGAACGTCTCTGAACTGGGGATCCGAACAAGCAATAGATTGACATCCGTGTTTGGAGAATCCGTAAACTATTTTCAGGAGTTGAAATTGAATAAGCAATAGAGCAGCATCCGTTGTTGGGAAGCGTCCGTAAACTGCTTTCAAAAGTTGCATCTGAACAAGTGATAGATTAACATCCGGTGTTGGGAAGAATCCATAAACTATTTTCAGAAGTATGAAGAA